ACTCTGACCCACGGCTTCTTCGCCAAGCGCGCCTGCTACGCCAACGGCCTCGAGCCATGGCTCAAGGCCCTTCTCCTCCTGAGCCTCTCATCCTCCTTCTAGTCCACCTTCTGCTGTCTCCTCCTTCTCCAGCTCGGGCTCATATCATACCCTGGAGTGCACATCTAACGCGTTCCGGCGCAACGAAGGTCTTCACACATTCCTGTCAGTGTAGGCTGGATTCTGGGAAGGCTCGCCACGAAGTTCTTCACCCCTCTTCCTTGTAAACCATTCCCCCCTGTCACGCTATCAGACGTGTCCGTAGGCCAGGCCAGACGTTTCTTTCGACGCTCATTTGCAGCTCAATGCCCCTGAATTTAATGCTCAAACCCTGGGTTTGGCTCAAGCGCCGCGCGCATAATTTTCAAAGCGTGTAGCAGTTACGAGGATCGAGGGCCGGTGATTTCCAGGATGCGGCTCTCGATTTGTCGTTTTACATGTTTCCAAAAGCTGCAATGAGGGAGGCCAGTTCGTTTTCAGAATGTGGCTCTCGCCTGAATATCACGCGCATGCGTTTTTGTGTTTGCGTTTGTTCTTTACCATGTAGACGAACAGGCATAGACATATTTACATATGCATACATGTACACAGCTACGGTTTTAAACAAGTCCTAGCATTTACACGGATGGGTGGGGGTGGTTGTCAAAATGCGTTCTCGCTTCGGTGCCGAGACCATTCGTTTTTTGTTGTCCAGAGGTCACATACAAGGATGGAGGCAGGTTCGTTTTGAAATTGCTCTGTCGCTTGAGATTTGTCCGAATTCTATGACCCGAAGTTGCGAGATGTGCAACAGTTACACGGATGGAGGCGGCTCCTTTTCGAAACGGGACCCTCGCTTGAGACCGCAGAGTGTTTGACCATGACTTCGAAGTTGCGCAGTGCTTACACGGACGGAGGTCTGATATGTTTCAACACGGGGTTACCGTTGGAGTTTTCCTTTGAGTTTAATCCTCCTGCCTCGCTGCACTTCCTTTAAGCTAACGACGGAGGGTGGGTCGTGTACAAGACGGGGTCTCGTCTGCACAGCAGGCCAACCGGGCGCGCCATCATTCGACAGGAAGGGGCTTCCCGCGCTGGAACGGAGCACTTGTAGTCGGATGTTGGTAGACATCCTACCCTGACACGTCGATTAGCGAATTGGCCGTTTTCGGTTCGCGAGAGGGCGTCGCGGCCGTCATTTTTGCGGGTGCAGGTCCGTCGGTTTCGGTCCCGGGCCGTTTTCATTAAAGGGAGGTTTATTAAAGGGAGGTTTGTCCACCGCCGATGTTGGGATTTGTGGGGAGCGGGCATGGGACGGGAGGTTGTGCTGCCTCATCGCTGATTCATCTTGGGCCTATTCTGGTGCTCCCCCTGCTGGTGCGCAAACACCAGCGCGCGCCGTACGATCATCTGACACCGCCGAACGCTCGCCGCGCACGGCTGACGTGCAAGGATCCAGCCCCCGAGGACGCACGGCTGACGCACGGCTGACGCTCGGCTGACGCCCGAGGACGCACGGCTGACGCACGGCTGCCCGAACGCTCGCCACGCACGGCTGACGCACGGCTGACGGCCACCAACGCCCGAGGAAGAGGAATGAGGAGCAGAAAGGCTGGATGTAGAGCTTGTCGGGTAGGAAAAGGACGGAGATCCGATCCCCTTGGGCTTGAGAGTATTTGCTCCTCCTCCTCCTCCTCCTCCTCCTCCTCCTCCTCCTCCTCCTCCTCCTCCTCCTCCTCCTCCTCCTCCGTCGTAGCTATTTCCGCGCAAAGGTCGCGCCGCCAGCGCGCCCGCAGGGCGCGCAATGGACTCCGCGCGACGCGCCGCGCGCACGCGCGCGGCCCCGCCCCGCGGCGGCCGGTCGCGGCGCCAGTGGTGGCTCTGCGCGGCGCTGCCCGCGTGCGCCGCCTCGCTCGCGGCGGCTGGGCGGCGCTCTGGCGCCGCCGCGCTGCCGCCCGCCGCCGCTCGCCGCGGCGGCGGCGGCGGCGCCCAACGCGGCGCGGCCCGCGAGCGCCGCCTCTCTGCCGCCGCTGCGCACCGCGCCGACGACGACCCGCCGCCGCTCGGCACGCGCGCGGGCGCGCGCGCCGCCTCGTCCGCGTCGGCGGGGCGGCTCGCCAGCGCCGCCGCGCTGCCGCCGTCGCGCGCCGCGCCGGCGGCGGCGCCCCTCTGCGCCGGCGCGGCCGCGGCTGCGCCGCGCGCGCTGCGCCGCGTGTGGCTGGAGGCGTCGGCCGATCCCGAGTTCGCCGCCAACGTCGGGCAGGCCATCGACGCGGTGCGCGAGGAGCACGGGCGCCTCCCAGAGGCCGTGCCCGGTCTCTCCGTGGCGGATCCCAGCATCGTGCTCGAGATCGCGCAGCTCCCGGCGTTATCCTTCCGGGGCGAGGCCCAGTACACGGAGTTCTGGCGGAATTTCCGAACCGGCGTCGGCCTCATCTCGATGACCCTCAGGACGTGTGCTAGCCCAACGTGTGTGGTTGCCCCGTCTAGCTCCACCGATATAGCACGCCTCCGCCATCGGCCCTGACTACACCGCTTGCGCCGTATTGAAGGGCGTCGGTGGACGAGCACACGCTGGCCCTAACACGCGCTCTGAGGATCATCGATCCTCAGCCGCTCGGCGCGCAGCGAGGTGACCAACGTCGTCCACTCCGGGGTCTACCTGCGCGTGCGCTGGAGGCTGCTGCTGGCGGCGGGCCCGCCGCCCGTGGCGGGCGACGCGGCCGCCGCCGTGGCGGGCGCCGCGCGCTCCGCCATGAGCACGAACCCGCTGCTCGGCGCCCTGGACGGGGCCCTGGGCGGCGGCCTGTCCTCGGCCGGCAGCGGCATCCTCCGCGAGGCCGAGAAGTGGGCGGGCGCGCCGCCGCCCGCTGGGCTGCAGGACGCTCCGCTGCCCCGAGGCTGGAGCAGCTACGTGGACGGCCGCACGGGCAGCACCTACTATCACAACGCCGCGACTGGCGAGACGCAGTGGGAGCGGCCCGGCGGCGTGCCGCGCGGGGCCCAGGACTCCGAGGAGCGCGTGGTGGAGTTCAACTCCGTCCACGAGGCCTGCGCCACCCCGCCGGCCCCAGGACAGGAGATTTGCGGCCCTTGTGTTTCCCAACCATTCCGTGTTGTTGGGTCCTTGTTTTGATGGGACAGTGTCCCGCGTTTTCCTTCCCGATGCCGCTCTCCTCCTCATATCCTCCTCCCCCTTCTGCCTCCTCCCAGCCGTGCCTTTGCCATCCCTCACACGTCTCGTAGCCCCACAGGGAGCTCCAGCGAAGGCCCCACTGGCAAGGTTCGCATGCGTCCGCGCCTCTCGTTTCGGCTCGCGCGTCTTGGTACGCATATGGTCGTCACGCCCGTTTCGGCACACCACTCACACGTTTCTTGTCCCTATATGGGAGCTCCACCGAAGGCCCCAGTGGTAGGGTTCGCATGTGGGCAGACCCGTTCCGGCACACCCTTCACATGCTCCGTGGCCCCAATAGGGAGGGGAGCTTCACCCAAGGACCCAGTGGCGACGTTCGCATGTGGGCGTCGCGCCCTTTTCGACACAACCTTCACACGCTTCGTGGCCCCATATAGAGAGCTCCAACTAGGGCCCCAGTGGCAGTGTCGCACGTGGGCGTCACTCCCGTGTCGGCACACCCGTCACACGCTTCGTGGCCCCATAGGGAGCTCTGCCCAAGGCCCCAGTGGCGACATTCGCACGTGGCCGTTTCGGCACACCCTTCACGCATTTCGTGGCCGCCCCACAGGGAGCTCCACCAAAGGCTTCAGTGGCAGGGTCTGCATGCGTCCCCCCGCCCATTTCGGCACGCCTATCACGAGGATCGTGGCCCCATAGGTACTTCCACCGAAGGCCTCAGTGGCAGGATCAACATGCGTCTCCCCGCACATTTGGGCACATCCCTCACGAGGATCGTGGCCCCATAGGGAGCTCCACCTAAGGCCGCAGTGGCGACGTTCGCAGGTGGGCGTCACGCCCGTTTCGGGACACTCTTCGCACGTTGTGTTTTCTTCCAACCATGTGTGGTGTTGGGTCCTCGTTTTGAAGAGCAAGCACCCCGCGTTCCTCCTCCTCATCCTCCTCTTCCTCCTCCTCATCCTCCTCTTCCTCGTCCTCCTCCTCCTCCTCATCATCATCACCATCCTCCTATTCGTCCTCCACCACCTCCGCCTCCTCCTCCTCCTCTTCGTCCTCATCCTCCTTCTCCTCCCCCTCCTCCTCCTCCTCCTCCTCTTCCTCCGCCTCATCCTTCCTCTTTCCTTTTCAAGCGTGAGTAACCCAGTTGTGAGTATCGTGTTCGGTGGAGCCCCTACGGGGCCAAGAATCGTGTGAGGCGTGTGCCGAGGATCGAGGTATTCGGGCGTCTTTGGCATACTTCCCAACCATCCTGTGGTGTCAGATCCTCCTTTGGAATCCACAGCGCCGCGCTCCACTCCTCCTCCCGCTGCCCCCCTCCTCTCTCCTCCCATCCGTGCCTCTGCCCTCCGCATGTCTATTTCAGCACGCCCCTCGCGAAGATCGTGGCCCCACACGGAGCTCCGCTGAGCTCCACCCCTCCCACTTCGGCACACCCCTCCCGAGGATCGTGGCCCCACAAGGAGCTACATCGAAGGCTTCAGTGGCAGGGTCCACATGCGTCCCCCGCCCATTTCAGCACACACCCCACGAGGATCGTGGCCCCATCGGGGGCTCCACCGAAGGCCCCAGTGGCCCATTCCGGCACAACCCGCAAGATGATCGTGGCCCAATTGGGAGCTCCACCGAAGGCTTTAGTGGCAGGGTTCGCACGCATCCCTCCGCCCATTCGGTATTGCTCTCTCGAGGATCGTGACCCTACATGCGTCTCCCCGCCCATTTTGGCACACTCCTCACAAGGATCGTGGCCCCATCAATAAGGAGCTCCACCGAAGGCCCCAGTGGCAGGGTCCGCATGCGTCCCTCCGTCCATGTGGGCGCACCACTCACGAGGATCCTGACCGCAAAGGGAGCTCCGCCGCAGGCCCCAGTGGAAGGGTTCGCATGGCGCCGCCTTCGCTGGGACATGCTCCCC